CCCCCCCCCCCCCCCCCACCCTTCCCCACCCTTTCCACTACTTTCATGACTAGCTAATGAATGTAGATGGTGCTCTGGGGGATGCAGTGGTCTTATTACAGGGGGTTATGTGTGCACTCTGAAAGATCAGACTGCTCCAGCCAGGCAACGGAGAGAGGTCCAATTGCTTTGACAAAGCCCCCACCTCAATAAACAGAAGGGCTAAAGAGGTTTGTTTATTGGGCCCACCTTGGTTTGACCTCGGTAGCACAGGGACAGGCTACCAGATTACAGAAGTGTCAGCACAGCCCGTGGAGAGTCGGGACACTCTACTTGCATTGGCTAACCCCTCAGTGCTCCAATAAATCTCATGAATAAGAGCACGATCCACAAGTGTGACTCAAATGCAAAAACAGAAAGAGGGCAATAAAAAGATTGTTGATTACATGGTTTATTCACCATCTTTGTGCCGCACAAGTGGGATTCCGCTTTCACCCGTTGGTCAACAGTGACGTAATCTCTATCAACAAAGATGCAGAATAAGTCAGCAATAGATAGGATTGTATTCCTGGAAGCTCTATAGAGCTGCTTGGTGTTTGCTTCCTAAGTAGTAGTGATGAAGTCTTGTTTGTGAAAGTGGGGATCGCATTCAGGTGCTGATCACGCATTGCACAGGGTGCGGAGTCAATGTGTAATTTGCCTAAGGCATCTGGGCACCTGAACATTATGGAGCTGTTTGATTGTTTGTTTCTGTACCAAACAGCTTGCTGCTTCGCCTGTCACTATTTCTCAACTCACCACCAAGGTCTTCAGCTATGGTCAACAGTGAGGCCTGATTTGTATTAAGCATCACAGCGGAGCTGCGAAGGCCAGACAAGTCCTAAACAACATACTCAAAATATAATTTGTCATGCATTGTCGAGTTTAAACAGGAAGGGGCCTGTCTCACAATCCTGTCAATAAGTCTTAAAGCCACCAGCCTCAAGGACATCACTTGGACACAAGCCAGCCCGCTCACACAGCCTTAACTCTCTTGGTGAAAGTTAACTTTTTATTTTGGCTGGTGTCAACATTTCTTCCATGATGAAAATCCTCTCAACAAACTTTTTTTTTTACTATGTCAACAAAAAAACTCAGTTTTCTTTATAAACAATGCAGTGTCAGTATTTTTTTTTCAATTAGCAACAATTAGCATCAATTAGCAGCAAAACATCAACTTCCTTTAGAGTCTATGCTGTACATATTTATGTACACCATGTATTTTTACGTGCTGCATGTTAAGTCTTGTTCTTCTAAGAGAAAATATCACTAAATACACCAAATATTCCAACCATCAAAAACCCTAGTCATCAACAAAAAAAAAAACACAAGAAGGCAGCACTAAATAGTAATTACTAAAAGGTTTAAATGCCTCTGATATACTTCAGTATTTTATTCAGTATGTACCCCTGAAAGCTCGAGCCTGTCTCAGATGTCATAATCCTGAATTGGGTTAATCATAAAACAGCAAACTGGGTGCTGGTAACTTTCTATATCCAGATGCCTTGTTTAAAAAAAAAAAGGACTAGAGAAATATCATTAAAACATACAATGTAGTTCGAATGTCTGCATGAATCCTCATGTCTCTGAAGGTGAATCTAAAAGAAGATATCTATGCCTTTAAATATTTACACAGTCAATGTGCCTCACAATCTACTGTTACAACTTTTCGACCTCTGCTTTTGCTTTGTTCTGAAGCCCACCTTGACAAAGTTTGTGCTGTTTTATTTCTGGTCGTGTGAGCTGTCTCTTTTTCTATCCTGTCATTATCCAATCAAAGTATTTTACTGGTCACGTTTCTGCTTTCAGCCACCGTGTGCTGATTTTCCTACTGTGGAAAATGGCTCATTATTTCAATGTGCAGTCACATTTTCTATAGTTGGGCCAAAGGATCGAGCCATCTTTTCATTAAGGAGAATCACTTCGTACGGTCCTTTCTCCATTTTCAAATACACACTCCCTGAGAGATACATGCAGACTTTGTGCATTGGGATTTTTTTCCCATTTGATGCTTAACTAGCATGATGGTAAACCACAGAATAATCGTCACATACAAAATCCCACCTTACAATACACCATCACCTCGCTGTTTTTCCCAGAAACTAAGAGAGTTCAGCTAATTATGTCCGTATGAATTTAAAAAGGCAAAGTGGTTGAAATCTGGGTAGCACGTGTGTATTAAATAATTACGTATTATACTGTGACTGTTGCACCAATATGTCGACAGTGCGGTGAAATATAATTCATTCTGCATTTCACCATATTAATGGAGTGAATTACTGCGTGGTTCAGGGTATTTCAACGCCTTTACAGCAAGATTCCAGCCGAAGTAGCTCAAAATAATTAACTTTACCACCTGCTTTGTTTCTGAAAAATTGTTTACAGATTCAATAATTGGCCACATGCATAGATATAGCTGACATGTTCTCAATAAAAATTATTAACAAAAAGTATATGCAGGGCTCTTCTTAGCTATTTTTTTAACTAAAGAAACATCATTCAAAGTTATATATGTCTCCTGCTGAACTATTTTTCAGTAATATGCTTCAGCTCACATATTTCCTGGAAGACAGGAGCTTTAACCATTTCCAAAAGTGCATTAAAATGCACTCAGTCATTTGTTTAATCTCTTTAGACATTGAAAGGAGAAATAACTATAATTTGTTCTGGGGAAAATGCCCAAAACAGTGCTTTTGGATCAGAATGTTTTCTATGTATTGTAAATGGAAAAAAAAAATAGGAAGGAAAAAATAGCCATGTTCAGACACTCATTCTCAGAAAAATACTAAAAGAAAGTATGTGCAGATTACCTATGTGGCTCCGGTGTGAAGAAGCACTGGTCAGTTGTCCCCAGAGAGACACCATACAGATGGTCAGCAGCAGCACCATTCTGCACATGCTCTGTAGGTCCCTTTCCTGCATTCTGGAAGGAATAAGACACAAAACAACAAGTATTTAGACAACTGAAAAACCACAAAAACACTCATGTGGAACTTATTCACTTGGGGTAAAGCCAACCAACTCTCACAGGTGGTCAATTAGCGTAACTCCTAAAATCACAAAACTTGGATTTGCAGAGCTTTTAGAGGACGTCTTTGTAGTGTAAAGAATGTGGATACACAGTGCCAAGAACTCTGAATAAGTATCATCACACCACTGAGAGACTTTCCTTAAGTACGTTTTGTGCGAGCAATTGAAAGTGGAAAGACTTCCGAATCATGGAAAAGCAGTTGTTGAAAATGTGTAAAAATACGTTTTGGATATCACAGGTGTGTATTACTTAGCTCTGTAGCATCTAGCCAGAGGTTCCTTGTTTGAAACATTAGCGGTCTGTCCTTTGTATTATATGCACTGCCACTTTCTCTTTAGTCTTGTTTTTTTGTTTGCTTGTTTCTTTCACTCAGCGTGTCTTTCACTCATCTATGTCAACTCTCTTCTCGTGGACTTGTGCAACCAATCAGAGAGGACTCTCCCTCTTACAGGCCAAATGAAACTGGGACAGAGATAGGTCGCTATGGTCTGTCTAAAGACCAGTTAAAAGACCAGGTGGATTTCAAGGGGCTCTTCAGTTAAAAGGTAGTCAGCTAACATAATCTCTGAATTAACTCTGACCTATTACACTCTTTCATTATAGGGTCTGCTTACTGTATTATATTATCATCACACTATATTTCACAATATTAATATAACTGGGAACACTCCCAGCTTTAATTTAGGGGTAATCATATCTAAACGTAAGGAATTGTTCAGAAATTACAACTCTTCAAAACGTACAACCCTCTTTTTCAGGGGCTTTAATGTATTACGACAAATGACTCAAAAGCTTCTTCATGGATAAGGGGAAAAAGTCCCTGTAATATTCATTAACTGAATAGGCAGGAAAATGGTCCAGAGATGATTCCAAGTGTGTCATTTGCATTTGGAAAGTTGCTGTAACTCAAAGCATGCAGTCAGCAGAGCTTGCAATGCAGGCGAAATGGTCGATCCCTAGGCTGCAGAACAAATCCATCAGAGAGATAGAGAGAACATTGAGAGAGAAAAAGGATGCATTGGTGAGCTTAGAAAACATAAAAAAGGCAGAGACATCCACGGCAGACAAGATTAGTCTATTATCGCGTGATCCTCTCCATGTGAAAAAAAAAAAGTTCTTCAAAAATATCCCCATAAAGAGAAAGGCCAAGGGCAGAGGACCAGTGCGGTGGAAAACATTTATAAGACATAACAGCGGATAGGTCAAATCAGAGCAGAGCATTCTGGGATGTGCTGCTGCCCCTGCTTGCAGATGGGAAAACCAGTGCCACAAGTGGATAACTTTTATCTGGAGCCTTACATGAAAAACATTTCATTCCTCTGAACCCATTGGAAATGGAATAATGCAGCAAAGGTTTCAATGTTGCAGAACATAAAGTAACTCTGAGTAAGATAGAAACAGAAATAGACAAAGTCCAAAACGTCCAAGACGAAGAAACAAGCAATAAACTAAAACTAGTGACAGACATACATATAGGTTTGGTCCCCCCCATTCCCTTGTCACATTGCTGTTTACCTCAGTTGTTTTGTTCCTGTGATGCTCCTCTCTTCACCAGCCCTGCCACCATACTTTTCTTTTTTGCTTACATTGATTTGATTTGAAATTCTGTTCACTTCTATAAGTTTGATTAAATCATTTATTTCCATAGATGCCAATTTATTCTTGTATTTCTCCAGTTCCTTATTTAATTTGAAAAATTAATATTTAATGATATGGTCTGTGGGAGGAATGCAGATCCGGGCCACAAATTTGTTATAAATGCTGTGATATTTTTAGAAAATATACAAATGCAACTATTCAAAACCTCAATTTAAAGCGGACAGGGAGCAAATGGAGTGTGTTTATGCTCTCTCCCACCTAGCAGGTGAGTAATGCTGTTTGTGTGGTCTGTCTTAATGCGCCCAGCTCAGTAATCTTCATGTACTTTCAGCTGACTGTTGTCCAGTAATACTCTCCATCTCCATCTGAGGGGCCTAGGGAGAGTGGCACAAACAATCAGTGGCCCGTCTTACTGCCAACAGAGCTCGCCTCCTCTCTCCTGAGAAAGCAGCTGCAAATCACAGCTTTGCTTTGAACTCGGTTCCAGTGCAAGCCACTCAAATTAGTAAAATGCTTGGTTTCATGCAAAGAGATCAACTCTTGCTTATCTGGCAGAGGCTCATACGAGATGCTTTAGTGTGACTGTCTTTGTACTGACAGCCAGAGCTGGTGAGATCTTAACAGGACGCTCTAATTCTGTACAAGCTCAGACAGCTGACGCAATCACAATATTATGAGAGCACAGACGGTACGGGAAAAAAACAAAAACAGAGTGTGATCTCATACGTTATTGTAACGGGGAAGTACAGTCATTGGATTTTACCATAATATGAAATGCAATAACCTGATCTGTATTGACGCAATACAGTACAAAAGTTCAAAAAGGTTCAATAAAGTGTAAAGATTATGTTATAGTGTGAGATAGCATGTTTTAACATTTTTCAGAGCCTCGACTGCAGTTTGATTCAATATCAATATATATGAGATAAGGATTTGCTATCATCGGATAATTGTAAGTTTTACATAATTTTACAATTTTACTAAAAGTTCAATTCTGCTGATTTTGCATTTAGTCTTCACCAATCCTTAAAAATTAAACAGACACATCACATTACATTAAAAACTATTAACCATTGATGATCAATTTTGGGATGAATATTCTAACCAGTGGCCGACATTGTCATTAAATAACACCCATTTTTAAAATGTGGGCATGAACAAACTTCCAAAGAACTACTTGAAGCCATCGTAGCAGGGAGTAAAACTCCTTTAATATCTGCTTAGTAGGTCAGTTTCTGTCTCTAAAACTCTAATGCTTTCTGCAGTAGCCCCCCACTTTACCCCGATCCCTTTAACATGGCGATCGTCAATGCAATGTCAGAGCTTCAGGAATTTAACACGATCAATTTAAGCACAACTTTGAATCATGAACCTTTCTATTACCACATATACAGGCACACCCCAGACCCACAATCAGCTGAGGAACACAGCAGAAATGTTTGTCGGAGTGGGCCTGATAGCAGAAAAAACATAACTGATGACGAATCAAAGCTACTGATTGCCTTGAAATTTCTACCTGTGACTTACTTGTGAAAATTGGCTTGTTAAGCGTAATTTACAATCAATTTACATTTACAATCTATATCAAACAGAATAAGATGCTGATGTAAATTCATGGTAATTATTCGGAAGTTTATTACCGCGTAAAATGGCTCATCATCTCTTAGATGTCCTGCTCACCTTTGTCAATTCTTTCAAAGTCACTTGCCTTTGTCTCCAGCTTTAGGCTGCCACAGAGACTGAGGCAGGTCTGGGATTATTGTGGAATAATGGCCGGGCCGATGTGTGAGACAGCAGCTGCTCTGTGCCCAGCACCATAGGAGACATAAGATGTTTTAGGTAAAGGATTTGTCTTATTCAGACTACCCTGACCATTACTGTATTGGAGGACTTAAAGGGTTCCGAGTGTAACCCTGAGGTCTCTGTGCTCTGTGACGAGAAAAGCACATAGAGGATAAGAGCCATCTCCGAACAGGAAGGTAGTCATATTAGTTAGAAAAAGGAAAAAATGTAGCCATTACTAATTCCAATGGTGTTTTCATAGCCTGCTCTTTTGAAAGGATATGGAGCATATGCATAGCCAACCAAGTCATGGCACATGTCATTAAGCCATGCGTTTTCAGTTTACTGCATATCATTGCACATGAAAAAATATGAAATATGAAAAAATAGGACAGGATGAGAATCCACATCATTAGAAATATGTTGAATGTATAATGTTTTTCTGCATGTCAGCACACTGTCCTGTATTTGTGCCCTCAACATTCGACACAGACTTTTTACAGCATTAAAAGAACCAAAAACTGTGAAAAAGTAACTAAGTTAAGAACTCATGACAGCCAGACCATCAAACTGCCAGAACTTAAAGATACTTTCAGGGCGTACTTGCTCCTTTTCACTGTGTCACCATCTAACAAAGTCCATGTGTGAGGAGGAGAAGCTGAGTGGGCCATAATCTGACACGGCTAAATTCCCACTCATCTCACACGTGTATGTAAAACTGCGCATACACTCATCCCCAAAATAAGATTAACCTGTTTAGGGCATTTTTTGATGAGCCACCTGGTCTCAGTGTCAGGTGGAATAATTTTCTTGTTAACCAGCTCCAATAAGCCACCTGAACATCACCAGATCCAGAAAATGAAATTGCAACATAAGATGAAGGAGTAGCTTTGAATTCAGAATAAAACCTGGCAGTCCAAAGAATAAATGAAAAATCTACCATAAAACACTAACTAATGTAAAATTCCTTGTCAGCATTATTCCGTTATTCCTGCTCTCAGAGCAGATTTATTAGTTTTCTTTCATTCTTGCAGGAGATCTTTATTCTATGCTTGTATAACTTAACTTTAAAGAAAAACCACAATTTATCTGACATAAGTGTCCCATAGACACTGTTTCTTTCTTACTTGAAAAGAAAAATAACATTTGGACCTTTTATAAACAGACAGTTTTAGGTCCTTTGTAGTTAAAAATATATTAGCGTCCGACAAAACACAAAATCTATTTAGTCGTAAACCTTTCTTTATGACAGTATGTATCCCGTTCCCAGTCTCAACCTCACACATTTAGAAGTTGAGATATTAAGGGAGCATCAGAATTCTTAATAAAGCATAGTGTACTGTGTGGTAACTACTGCCAGGACAGAGGTAAGTGAGCAAAAAAGCAGGGGCGCTGTTTCTGACCAAAAAGCACAGCATGGAGAAAAGTGTTTTGTCGTCACTTTTCATGGTGATGATGTCATCAGGGCGGGGCATTGCTGAATCTGAGAGGGTAACATCTCCTCAAGCCA